GTTCCTCCGACCGCTTGATCTAGCCTGAGAAAAACCGCATAAAACGAAGAAAGAAGAAAAAAAGAAGAAAGTAAAAGACAAAGAGATAACGTAAGAAGTACATAGTCAAGGCAGAAAAGGAAAAGGAGGGGATGGGGGGAGGGCGGCGGGTCTACCATCACTCCGTTGGCAGCGACGCCCCTTCCAGCGGTATATCATTTTGGTCCGTACCCGCAGGGGTATGCCTTCAATCTCCACTCGAGCCAACTACGCTATTGTCCCATGGTTCCCAGAGTTTTTGGAATGTTACGGCGGTCCGTCTCACCCTTGCTGTCAAATCATCCATAATTCTACATTCTTTGATTCTGGAGATAACCCCTGTGAATTCTGGGCCCTCTGAAGTGAGCCATGCTGTCGCTATCGCTCGGCTCGCACATAAAGTAATCTTGTGTACTAATTTCTGTTCCCGAGTGGTCCATCCGTCCACAGATCTGTTTAATAAGTAGATCCCGGGGTCTAATCTCAGCGGTCTAGCAAATATCTGCTTCAACAGAACCTCCACAGACTTCCAGAATCCGCGTATCTTTGAGCATTCCCACCACATGTGTATATACGTCCCTTGGGCTCCGCATCCCCTCCAGCAATCGTCAGTTTCTAGTTTGTGCATCCTATGTAATTGCTAGATTTTTCTTCTATGCTCACCAGGCCAGTATTTTTGTGTCCCTGCCAGGGTTCAGCCTCTAAGCCCTGAAGACCCAGTAACAGCACATCTTTATAAGTCTCCAGCCTGGGTAACCCTTTACTGACCAGGGGTCAGGCCCACTCTTTCCCTCAGGGGATGAAAGCGGTCCACTCTATACATGCCAGGGTTCAGCCTTTTATCCCTGAGGACCCAGCAACATCACATCTCTATGAGTCGCAAGCCTTGGTACCTCCTTTCGTGACCGGGGGTCAGACCCAATCGCTCCCTCAGCGGATGAAAACAGTCCATTGCATACATGCCAGGGTTCAGCCTCTTATTCCTGAAGACCCAGCAACAGCATATGTCTATGAGTTGCTAGCCTGGGTAACCCCTTTAGTGACCCAGGGTCTCACCCAATTCCTTCCTTGAGAGGAGGAAAGCGGTCTACAGCGTACCTGAGGCCCAGCCAGGGTTCATCCTCTTATCCCTGAAGACCAATCTCTTTGAGTCACCAGCCTGGGTACCCCCTTTCGTGACCGGGGGTCAGATCCAATCGCTCCCTCAGGGGATGAAAGCAGTCCATTGCATACATGCCAGGGTTTAGCCTCTTATCCCTGAAGACCCATCTCTCTGAGCCACCATCCTGAGTACCCCCTTTAGTGAACGGCGCTCTGACCCAACTCTCTCCCTCACGGGATGACAGTGGTCCACTGCATACATGAGGTCAAACAAGGGTTCAGCCTCTTATCCCTGACGACCCAATAAACAGCACTTCCATAAGGTGACTACCTGGGTATGCAGTAGGTTTGTTTAAAACCTTCCCCCACTGGTGGTGACGAAGGGCATGTTCTTTCTAAACTGGGTGATATTTAGGAGGTTTCTGTGGTGAGCATTTTGGAAGGTTTATACATGCAACAATGCAACTTACAAAAGAGCGCTGATAATGCAACAATGCATTTAAAAAAGAGTGCTGATAATAATGCAATCATGCATTTTACAAAAGAGTGCTAATAATGCAATTTACAAAAAAATGCTGATAATCGATATCCTGTTTGTATAAAGTCTGCCTGAATACCACAGTCTTGGAGACAGAGAAGAGGCCAATACCCTCAGTAATAGCAAGCTTCCCTGGGTGACTGAGCCAATTGTACCTGTACACACAGTGCATATCAAAGCTGAATGATTGTGTAGTGATAATATATACTTACCAGCAAGCGCTCCACTTATTTACTGATGTTGGAGTCATTATCAGGTCAGTCAGTATAAGATCTTTTTTGAATAGTTCTGGTGTGGTGTAAGGAACGAACAAATCCAAGTGTTGTAGCAGCTTATTCTATGTATCTTTCTATTATTCATAATTTTTTTGTAAGAGCCTCTTTTATCACAGATAGGTTCTATAGCATGGGCTCCATACTGTAATGAATAACCCTGTGAATATTCAAATTCCCTCAAAACAGCCAAGTTGTGACTAGTTACTCTGCCCACATTTTGCCATCAGACTTTAATTTGCTACAAATCAAAATGTAATGATTAAAACTGTTCATGAGGATTTTTTTCTTTTTCTATAAAATTTTTTATTTTCTTCACTATAAATAAATAAATTAATTAAATTAAAAGAAAATATTTTTTGTCTATCATGTTCTTTCAATGCAAAACAACTCCATGGCCCATTTACTACATAATTCAAACACCAGAGCCACTACAGGATGGTTATTGTACCCAGGGCCGGATTAACATAGGGCTGATGAAGCTGCAGCTCCAGGCCCGTGCCTATGGAATTTTTGTTTTGGCTACTCTTCAAATGCTCTTGCTTAAGTATGGAAACTTAAGAGGGATGTAGGGGAACAAAACTGGCGTAGAGTGGCTGACAATGAAATTAGCTCCGTTAAAGCTGTGCACTACTTGCTCCCATACTGCACAACAAAAGCTTCTGCCTGCTAGTAAGAAGGTTAGTAGAGGAATGGACCAGCAAGTGGTAGGGGACAGTCCTTAGAAAGCGTAGAGCTAACTCATCATTAGATGCATTTATGCCAAGCTCAGGATGCTGTCTGCACAGTATGCCCTTGGTTGGTCATCTTGCATGATTGGTAGGGAGCCTGACGTGCATTTCCGCCAAGCTATCCATCTAATTCCTTGTGCAGACACGCTTCTTTTGGGGCATATTTGTCCCTTTGTGCAGTTCTCGCTACGTGATTCACATCAGTGGCACACCCTTTTACCCAGCCCACCGAAATTCTACTTCACTGGACACTGCTGTTAGGGGGGTATAGATTTACTTGAAAGATGAAAGCAAGAGATTAGCATAGGGTTTGTGTTTTTCCGATAGCTATATCCTGTGAGTTTCCCTCCAGCACCACCTCCACCAGATACATGACGCTTGGGAGGTATAACCGTTTTAGTGATTTCTGTCGATATGATTCTGTAATTAGGCCCATCATAACTGTCAGCACCAGGCCCAATGGGCTTTTAATCTGGCCCTGGTCTTTCTCTTCCCAGCTCCTTGGTGTGTCTCTTTTCCCCCCAGGCCTCTCTGTGTGTCTTCCTCACAAGCAACTCTTTGTGTCTCTGTCTCCCCTACCAGCCCTTCTGTGCTTCTTTTTCACCCCTTCCTCAGCCTCTATGTGTGTCTTACACTGCTCCATCCCTTAATGATCTCTACCACTTCTCCCGTCCCTTAGTGGTCTCTCCTCCTGTCCCTTAGAGGTGTCTCCTCCTGTCCTTTAGTGTTCTCCCCTCCCCTCCCATCCTGCCCGTTAGTGCTCTCCCATCCCCTCATGTCCCTTAGTACTCTCCTATCTCTTAGTGATCTCCCCTCCCCACTTGTCCCTTAGTGATCGCCCCTGCCCCTTAGTGCTCTCCACTTCCCCCGTCCCTTAGTGATCTCCTCTTCCCTCCTGTCCCTTATTGCTCTCCTCTGCCCCTATCCTTTAATGCTCCCCCTGACTTTAGTGCTTTCCCCTGCACCCTGTCCCCGTTCCCATAGTGCTGTCCCTCCCCCTATCCCTTAGAGTCTGCCCCCTCCCCCATCTTTTCCTTGTTGGTCTCCTCCCCATCTTTCCCTTAGTCATCTCCCCCCATCTTTCCCTTTGTGGTCTCTCCCCCCCTTTCCCTTTGTGTTCTCCTGCCTCCCCCATCTTTACCATAGTGGTCTTTCCCTTCCCCCCAACCATCTTTCCCTTAGTGATCTCTCCTCACACCCCAATCTTTCATTTATTGGTCACCCCCCATCTTTCCCTTAGTTGTCTCTCCCCACCATCTTTCCCTAGTGATCTCTCCTCCACCCCCCTCCTTCTTTCCCTTAGTGGTCTCTCTCCCCACGCATCTTTCCTTGAGTGGTCTCTCCTCACCACCCCACCTCCATCTTTCCCTAAGTGGACTCTCTTCACACCCCCTCCCCCATCTTTTCCTTAGTTGTCCCCCCGACAGAGTCCCTTAGTGCTGTATCCATGGGTCCTCCCCCCCAGTGTCCCTTAGTGCTGTCTACCCCAATCCCCCTTTCCCTTAGTGCCATCTCCCCTCCCTTCCCTTTTGTGCCTCCTACCTCATTGTAGCGTGGCTGGGGTACAGTGTGCGCAGTACAGGAGCTTCAGTTTCCTGTACCCGGCCGGGCTGGCAGGAAGTGCTCACTGAGAGAGCACATCCTTTCAGTCCGGCCGGGTACAGGAAGCTCCTGTACCGCGGTCCACGCCACCCAGCCATGCTACACTGAGTGTCAAGTAGGAGGGAGCGCTGTGCGCTTCCCTCCTGTCGGGTCACTCAAATCTGTGTCGTCTCTTCACATTTGTGAAAATTGTCTACACACAGTCCTTCTGTTTTTTTAGCTTGTCTTAAGGACACAAGTCATTTTTGCATTTTTTGCTGTTTGTGGTCAACCGCAATTTTGCATCTCTCTCATTTATTGCACCAACACATATTACATACCTTTTTTTAAAGGGGAAAAGGGGCTTTAATTCAATGTCACATATACATATATAAATTCTCATTAATTATAATAAAATGGGAAAAGAAAAAAACATTTTTTTTCACAGTTTTGGCAATAATAGCGTGTGCATAATATATCCAGCTTAGAAAAAGTAATTTAAAAAAAAATTCATTAATGTGTCTTGATTTATAGAATACATAATGTGTATAGGATTTCAACTTATTTTGAAAGTTACAGGTCACAAAATACATGGACTAAAATAAAATTTCAATGTGAAACTGTTTTTCTTGTAAGTTTAGTAGCCATCACAGAAAGCAAAATTGACACACAAAAGTATATATTTAGGGGGAGGGAGGGGCCTGATCGCAGCCCAAGATGGCCGCACGTTGCTGAAGCTCCTAAGGGAAATCTTTTATACTTAGCCGAAAATCTGACTTCTACTATCAGACCGTTGGCACAAAACTGCTTACCCTCTTTGTGAGGCACCTAGGCACAAGTTGAGCCTGAAAGTGCTTGATTGGGACGTGCATAACCCATGTAAGGCTCCAGCTGCGGCCTTCTGGAACACTCGAGGTGGAGGAGGCAGCCGATCCTCTGCCCGCGTCTGGCAAGCATCGGATTAAGAGCCCTGTTCCCCCCTTCTAGACTGGTGGGGGTTATCCCGGTCGCCACTGGTATCCTTGTGTGACTAACAACTACAAACGGCGTTGCACAGTGATGTAGGAAGCTGAGGCCTACAGAATCAAAATGGCTGCCGCGACTAGCCCTGCAGGGACGGGTCTCTACCCGGGACAGCCCACCCAAGCTGACCCGCTACTTCAAGCCTTTGACAAGCTTTGTGCCCAATTCTGGCCGAAGCTGAGGGATCGGATACCCACCACTACTCCCATCAGTCAAAGCAGTGTACCTGAGAGCCGACCAGCGTCCCGAAGCCCAGTAACCAGCCATCACCCCTGCGGCCAACGCTGGACGACTCTGAAAAGGAGGCACAGGAGACCGCAACATAAACAACGCATGGAGGTGAGAAGAGCACAGGGGGCCGCGACTGACACACACTCACAGCGCACCGACCATGGCGGCCCATGGACACGACCTTGCATGGACCCCGAGAACACACCAAACAACCCTGTGTAACCTGCATAGTAAATGGATTCCCCCTCGGCAGGAACAGCGGCACGCGCCACGAAGGTCCAAAAGGCGGGCTCTCACCAACACATCGTGCTGCGGGGGGCCTCCCCATGCCTCCATGAACTCTCAACTCCCGATGTCCATAGCCCTCCGTCTGTGGGCATCGGTTGAGGGGACAGACTTTCTGCACTGTATTACTAATTTCCCGAATCTCTCTTTTTCTTATTTACTTGCTCACTAACCCAGTGGTATTAATAGCTCATTCTCATGTCACTACATATGTTTTGAAGTTTTTACCTACAATCTTCTGCTGACATGTATTCTACTCTTCCCTAAACCTATCTTTCAGATACTATAAAATGTGCTGTATGCTGACATTTCCTAATCAATATTCACTTATGCAATGCTTATACTTACACTCTTGTGGAATGTCACTATTTAGCCAATTGTTATGCTACGCACTATCAAAAATAAAGAATAAAAAAAAAAAAAGTATATATTTATATAAAGTAGACATCAGAGGCTTTTTAGCCATTTCATTGCCAATCTCTGTTAAATATTGGAGTAAAATAGTTTTTGGTTTTTTTTTTTGGCATATACACATATAACAAGGTTTTTGTAATGTGTATTTCTTAAGATTGGTGTGTGCCATTCCTGCACAGAACCCCATATTGTGTTCAGCTACATCTGCTGAGTACAACGATACCCCCCTTTGGCACTATTCTGTGAAGCTACAATGCCATATAAGAGACAAGGTTATTTCAGTTTCTGTAGTTAGAATTTTCATAGATGGATTTAATGGACCTATGTCTCATTTTGGGTTATTATAGCAGGTTAACTGTTCAAATAACCCCACAAATAACCCCATTTGAGAAAGCACCCCAGCGTATCTTATACGGCAAATATTGTGCCTTAACTTGTCACCATTTTTTCACCAATTTATGTCAATGTTTGTGGTGAGGGAAAAAAAAATATGGCATTTTTACATACATGTTGCATCTGTGCTGTATTTCTTACACTTGATATGTGCCACTGTCATACAATCTCCCAAATTATGCTCAGTTACATCTTCTGAATAAAACAAAATGCCCAATGTATGACCTAGACACATGGATGTCCACAGGAATTTTTCCAGGGGGGAGAGAGGGGGGGGCATAGTAATTACCACATAAAGCCAGGGTGACCAGATTTTGGAAATAAAAAACAAGGACACCCATTAGGCAAGGGGATGAAGAGATTGGCTGGAAATAAGGTAAATAGTGTTAAGGAGGGAGGCAGGATACGTAAATAGTGTTTTCACACTATTTGACACTGACACTATCCAGATCTCCAGGTCACTGAGATTCGGCTTCTGAAACGGAATGTCAGGAAGTGCATATTGATGTCAGACATGAGTGTCGCTGATTGGCTAGAGTGGTCAGCTGACGCTCTAAGCCAATTGCTAGTTCCCAGTTCAAAACAATGTTTTACTTTTTTATGAATGGAGAGCTACTGATTGGCTTAGAGTGCCAGCTGACTGCTGTAGCCAATCAGCGGCACCAGTGGTGTATCCTGGTTTTGTGCTGCCCTAGGCATGACAAAACTCAGGCGTCCCCCCACCCCGCACCACCCCACCCTTCCTCCCTGCCCTGCCTTCTAAATACACACACACACATTCACTGACAGACATGCATACACTAGCTAACACACATACACACTCACTAACAGACACATACAGTCACTAGCAGACACATACACTCTCACTAACAGACACACACACATGGTAACACACTCCCTGACATACACACACTTACTAACAGACACACACACACTAACAGATACACACACACACACACTAACAGACAAACACACATTCACTAACAGACACACACACACACTAACACACACACTCACTTTTTAAAAAATAATAATTTTATTCAACCTTTCTCCTTTTTACCTGGGGTCCAGTGGCTGCTGGGCTGCGCTGGCGAGGGAGCACTGATTAGTGAGCACTCTGCTCAGCTCCCTCGCGCGCCGTTGAGTGATGCCGGGAGCCGGAATATGATGTCATATTCCGGCTCCCAGCATTACTCTGCGGTGCGCGAGGGAGCTGAGCAGAGAGCTCAGGGAAAAGTGCTCCCTCGCCAGCGCCGCCCGCCCGACCGGATTTTTAGTTAGCCGCAAGGCTAACAAGACATTTGCCCTGGGCATTTGGGGCAGCTTTTTTTTTGCCGCCCCCAGAAAATGCCGCCCAAGGCAAATACCTTGTTTGCCTCGCGGCTAATACATCCCTGAGCGGCACCCCTACCCAGCAGCACTCTATGCTTCCTGACACTCAGTAAATAAAAGTGAACACATTAACACTGATATTTTCTTTTAACTGGGGAGATGAGTAGGTCCAAAGTTTCCCTGCCAGGCCCAGGTACCAACGTCTTATGATGTGGTGCCCAGAATGAAATGGAAGGATTACTTAACGTGTCTTTTTCTTCTGACACCGTCTTCTCTCCTCCTTGGCTCCTTCACCTTTCTGCTTCTTTTGCGCCCTTCTGCTCCTTTCTCTTTATGATCCCTTTCTGCTACTTTTGAATCCTTCTGGTCCTTCTGACCCTTTCTGCTCCTTTCAGCTCCTTTCTGCTTCTCGATGACCCCTCCTGCTCCTTTTCTTACTTATCCTTTCTGCTCTTTGCTGCCCCTTTCTGCTCCTTGCTGCCCATTTCTGCTCCTTGCTGACCCTTTCTGCTCCTTCTCCTACTTTTCCTTTCTGCTCCTTCTGATTCTTTCTGCTCATTTACCTGTGTGCTCCTTCTGTCCCTTACTGCTCCTTGCTGACCATTTCTGTTCCTTGCTGCCAATATCTGTTCCTTCTCCTACTTTACCTTTGTGCTCCTTCCGATTCTTTCTTCTCCTTTACCTTTGTGCTCCCTCTGTCCCTTCCTGCTCCTTGCTGACCATTTCTTCTCCTTGCTGCCTCGTTCTGTTCCTTCTACTACTTTACCTTTGTGCTCCTTCTGATTCTTTCTTCTGCCCTTACCTTCGTGCTCCTTCTGTCCCTTATGCACATTTCTGCTCCTTGCTGACCCTTTCTGTTCCTTCTCCTACTTTACCTTTTGTGCTCCTTCTGTCCCTTTCTCCACGTCCCTGCTCCTTGCTGACCCTTCTTGCTCCTTGCTGACCCTTTCTGCTCCTTCTCTTACTTTACCTTTGTGCTCCTTCTGATTCTTTCTGCTCCATTAACTTTGTGCTTCTTCTGTCCCTTCCTACTCCTTACTGCCCCTTTTTGTTCCTTGCGGACCCTTCCTGCTCCTTGCTGACCATTTCTGCTCCCTGCAGACCCTTTCACCTCCTTGCTGACCCTTTCTGCTCCTTTTCCTACTTAACCTTTCTGCTCCCTGCAGTCTATTTCTGCTCCTTGCTGACCCTTTCTGCCTGTTCCTGCTCCTTGCTGACCCTTTCTGCTCCTTCTCCTACTTTACCTTTGTGCTCCTTCTGATTCTTTCTGCACATTTACCTGTGTGCTCCATCTGTCCCTTCCTGCTCCTTGCTGCCAATATCTGTTCCTTCTCCTACTTTACCTTTGTGCTCCTTCCGATTCTTTCTTCTCCTTTACCTTTGTGCTCCTTCTGTCCCTTCCTGCTCCTTGCTGACCATTTCTTCTTCTTGCTGGCCCTTTCTGTTCCTTCTCCTACTTTACCTTTGTGCTTCTTCTGATTCTTTCTTCTGCCTTTACCTTCGTCCTCCTTCTGTCCCTTCTGCATCTTTCTGCACCTTGCTAACACTTTCTGTTCCTTCTCCTACTTTACCTTCGTGCTCCTTCTGTCCCTTCCTGCTCCTTGCTGACCCTTCTTGCAGCTTGATGACCCTTTCTGCTCCTTCTCATACTTTACCTTTGTGCTCCTTCTGATTCTTTCTGCTCCTTTAACTTTGTGCTCCTTCTGTCCCTTCCTACTCCTTACTGACCCTTTCTGCTCCTTGCGGACCCTTCCTGCTCCTTGCTGACCATTTCTGTTCCTTGCAGACCCTTTCACCTCCTTGCTGACCCTTTCTGCTCCTTTTCCTGCGTAACCTTTCTGCTCCCTGCAGACCATTCCTGCTCCTTTTCCTACTTTACCTTTGTGCTCCTTCTTATTCTTTCAGCTCCTTTACCAATTTGTTCCTTCTGTCCCTTTCTACTCCCTTCCTGTAGGTTGTCTCCTCCCATCCCTCACTTACCTGATCTGTAGGCTGTATCTGCAGGCTAGGAGTTGCTGGCTGCACTCTGTGCTGCTCCCCTGCGGATTCAGTCAGGAGAGAGAAGCAGGGATAAGATGTAGCTTCCTATCCCTGCCTCTATCCACACACAGGCTGGCGCCTGTATTGCAGTTTATTCTCAATCACACTGGCACAAGTTGAAAAATCCACATCTTGCCCCCTCCTGCGGACGCCCATGACTAGACACTATTTTGTGAAGTTACAGTGCTGTGAAAGAGATGTGACAAGTTCAGGTTCTTAAGTGTGAATTTTCATAGAGGGTTTTGATGGGTCTGTGTCCCACTTTGGAGCACTTGAGCAGGCTACATATTACAACTACACCATAAAGGCATACCATTTCTTAAAGAACACATCCCAGGGTATTTCAAAAGGCCTATTTTGAACCTTAGCATGGGATCATTTTTCCGCTAGCTTGTACCAAGTGTAGTGGTAATAAGCATTTTTTCTGCCTTTTTGACACACAAAGTGAGTTTGCGCAGTATATTTTGCAAACCTTATGTATACTAAGAATGTATACTACTTCATAGGTTGCTTAGCTATGTCGGCTGAGTACAGCAATACCCCGGTATGTACCTTTGCCAGGTATATGTGGACATTGAAGGGGCACATTTGAGACACAGCCATTCCAGTTCTTTTCAACCTTTGAATTTTTACGCTGTGTCCATGTCCCATTTTAGAGTATTTTACAAGGCTATATAATCCAATTACCCCATAAAGGCATACCATTTCTTAAATAAGACATCCCAGAGTATTTCAAAAGGCCTATTTTGAACCTTAGCGTGGGATCATTTTTCCGCTAGCTTGTACCAAGTGTAGTGGTAATAAGCATTTTTTCTGCCTTTTTGACACACAAAGTGAGTTTGCGCAGTATATTTTGCAAACCTTATGTGTACTACGACTGTATACTACTTCATATGTTGCTCAGCTATGTCGGCTGAGTACAGCAATACCCCCGTATGTACCTTTGCTAGGTATATGTGGACATTGAAGGGGCAAATTTGAGACACAGCCATTCCAGTTTTTCTAACAATTTTGAATTTTTACGCTGTGTTCATGTCCAATTTTAGAGTATTTTACAAGGCTATATAATCCAATTACACCATAAAGGCATACCATTTCTTAAAGAAGACATCCAGGTTAATTCAAAAGGCATATTTTGAACCTTAGCGTGGGATAATTTTTTTTGGCAGGGAAGGGGTTAATTTTATTAAAGCAGGGGAAGGGTGGGATTTAACTTTATTTTATTTTTTTACACAGGGAGAAGAGGATCAGCTCTTCACACAGAACCCGGAAAATCAGGGAGGCGGAAGGTAAGTAAACTGAGCACATGTGCTCAGTGCTGGGGCAGCTCGATCGGGTGCTCCCAGTCTGCCTCTAATACTTTTCGCGCCGCGATCTGGGGTTAACTTTAGTAAATGACGGAAATTTTCCGTCAACGGTCCTTAACTGAAGAACAAGGTTGACGGAGAATTTCCGACTTCGGTCGGGAAGGGGTTAACATTTGGCTGTTTTATTGGTTTATACGATCAGATTATTCTCTACTTTTATATTTCATGTGAGGTGCGCATGTTGTGAAGGTGTCATTATACAAACACTGAACAAAATTATAAATGCAACACTTTTGTTTTTGCCCCCATTTTCATGAGCTGAACTCAAAGATCTAAGACTTTTTCCATGTACACAAAAGGCCTCTCTCAAATAGTGTTCACAAATCTGTCTAAATCTGGGTTAGTGAGCACTTCTCCTCTGCCGAGATAATCCATCCACCTCACTGGTGTGGCATATCAGGATACTGATTAGACAGCATGACAATTGCACAAGTGTGCCTTAGGCTGGCTACAATAAAAGGCCACTATAAAATGTGCAGCTTTATCACATAGCACAATGCCACAGAAGTCGCAAGTTTTGAGAGAGTGTGAAATTGGCATGCTAAATGCAGGAATTTCCACCAGAACTGTTGTCCGTGAATTGAATGTTCATTTCTCTACCATAAGCCGTCTCCAAAGGCGTTTCAGAAAATTTGCCAGTACATCCAACGCCTCACAACCGCAGACCACGTGTAAACACACCAGCCCAGGGCATCCACATTCAGAATCTTTACCTCCAAGATCATCAGAGACCAGCCACCTGGACAGCTGCTGCAACAATCGGTTTGCATAACCAAAGACTTTCTGCACAAACTGTCAGAAATCGTCTCAGGGAAGTTCATCTGCATACCTGTCATCCTCATCTGGGTCTCGACGTGACTAAAGTTCGTCGTCGTAACCAATTTGAGTGGGCAAGTGCTCACATTCGATGGCGTCTGGCACTTTGGAGAGGTGTTCTCTTCACGGATGAATCCCGGTTTTCTCTGTACAGGGCAGATGGTGAGCGGTTTGCTGATGTCAACGTTGTTATCGAGTGGCCCATGGTGGCGGTGAGTTTATGGTATGGGCAGGCGTATATTATGGACAATGAATACAGGTGCATTTTTATTGATGGCATTTTAAAATGCACAGAGATACCGTGACGAGATCTTGAGGCCTTTTGTTGTGCCATTCATCCACGACCATCACCTCATGTTGCAGCATGATAATGCACGGCCCCATGTTGCAAGGATCTGTACACAATTCCTGGAAGCTGAAAACATCCCAGTTCTTACATGGCCAGCATACTCACCGGACATGTCACCCATTGAGCTTTGAGTTCAGCTCATGAAAAATAGGGGCAAAAACAAAAGTGTTGCATTTATAATTTAGTTCCGTGTACCTGTGCTCCTGAAAAGATTCTAAGTGATTACTTTCTACATATCCCATGACAAGGATTGTATTGTCAGGTGCTGATGCATGAGAGCTAATATATAGCTCCTTGTTTTGTGAGTGCATTTTCCATTACTTTATTCCTCACCTCTGTCATAAACAATATTACACTATTTTGTCCTCCTTGTCATTTCATATCACAGAATCCACAAAAGCTGGTAAAAACACAACATCTGCCGTACTTCACCTCTTCTACTAAGAATTCTGCTATAAAATATTATTTTATTACCTTTGATTACCTTGATTATCAGGGTTGAGATATATATATATATATATATATATATATATATATATATATATATATATAACAGATGAATCCCAGACACTTTCAACTAGGAACATGGGCCTATCATCTGTAGTCAGAAGGACTCTATTTGTAGGGTCGTGGTCATCAGACACTGCCTCCAAGACTGCCTTATGTGAACTTCCATTTGGAAGAAATAAGCTTTTCAGTGCTCCTGTGGAAGAATTATTATTTTTTTTAATTCTTTATTTTGTTTTCAGTACATAATAATTAGTCATAACATTTCCATAACGCCATATAACATATAGGCCGATAGTCAATAGGTGTGGGACATGTCCGGCCTAGGGATGGTTTGCACTTTTTGAAGTGGTCTAGTTGATCATAGGGATCTGTTCGGCTCTATGTGTTTGGAATGGTAAAGTGGGCTCGTCATAGGTGGACAGAGGGCGGGGCTTCTAGTGGTATAGATAAGTTGCGGGTATGGTACCGCCTGATGGGGTTACCCTGGGTGGTATAGGCCTATGTTACGAGCGGGTTGGTTGCCCTCTTGTTTTGTGGGGACTATGTTCAGCCATGCTGTGTGTCGATGAGATAGTTTTTTGATCTTTGCTAGGCAAATGTGTCACTAGTGTGGTGATGGTCTATGCGGCGCCTGCTAGGATTGTGGGAAAGGGAGAGTGTTTGTCCTCTTCGGGTAGTTTTATTGGGTACTTGTCGGTTGGGGGTACTCTCGCCACTCCCTTCCCGGCTTTCCTCCATCCCTCTAGGGTATTGGAGGGGTGGAGGTGTTGCACCCCAGAGCCAGCTGGTTTTGCCCAGTCAGCGTAGACTGCGGTGGGTCTACAAGTGGATGGGCAGTGCTTCGGCGTCAGTGAGGGGAGTGTTGTGCGTTCTTAGGGTGTCAAACTATAAATCAGAAATATAAGGAGATAAGAGCAACATAAACAGTAACAAAATATTGGTTGTGTGATCGGCTGAGGTTGTGGGCCCAGGGTGCGTAGTGGGTAGCCCTGTGTTGCTGTTGGATAGTCCCAGCGTGGCTAATAAGGCAGGACCTTCTCCCAGGATAGAGATTTTGTAGGATTGATCGTCCTTGGTCACCCAGAGCGTTGTGGGGGTTGCCCATCTGTGTGTGGAACCTGCCATTTGTAGGGTAGTGGTTATGGGCTGCATGCTCTTGCGCCATAATCTGCTCAGGTCTTGGAAAAAGGTGATTTGGTGCGTTTCGAAGTTGTGGAGTGTTTTCCCTTTAATGGCTGCCATTAGGGCTATTTTATCCGTAAGAGTTTGGCATTGCAAGATGAGGTCGCGTGGAGCTGTCTTTGGTGCTCGCAAGGATTTGGCGATGCGATATACGCCATCAAACGTGAAATGTTTTGTTTGCCTGTTGGGTAGGAGCGAGGTCACTAAGCGCCTTATAAAGTGGGGGAGTTCCTCCAGTGGTACTGCTTCTGATACCCCCTGATCTTGACATTTTTCCTCCTGCCCCTGTCATCTAGCAGGTTAACTTGCCTGGTAATATTGGAATGTATGGCTTGCATCTGGGTGACTGTGTCTTTCAGTGCGTTTAGGTCTTGGCGTGAATCTCTCACCTCCTGTTCTGTAGCTTGAGTGAGGACTGTCACCACCTGTACCTCAGCTGCTAAACCCTATAGATTCTATAGTGTTAGGAATACAAAGCTGTATACTTAACATTATAGAGCCCTCTGTCCCCCCCTCGTGCCCCTTTACCTCAGCATGTAAAGGGATAAAAATCTTTTATTTACTCACCCAATTCCAAGGGAGAACAACGATTGGTTGGCGCTCCACCTCGTCCAAAGAAGGGCATGGCCGTCTTTAATATCAATTGGACCCTGAGCAAGCATTTGCTTGGGCCCCTGTACCCTGCCCTCCCCTCCCCTCCCCCCACTCCTAGCTCCCAGGCATGCAGTTGCGGCCTTCACCACAACCTACTGATGGAACTAATGTAGAGAGGGCTGTGGTGTAAGAATTTTTTTTGGGTCTCCCCTATAGCGCAAGAGTGGAGAAAAGATAGATACCCATCTGTCTTACAACTTCCGCGATGCTATGCCAGCTGGGGATCTATCATTTTGCCATTCTTGTAGGGTTGTATTTGTGAGCAGTGTTTGTGAATTTGAATGTAAGCATGTTTTTGTATAGAGTATATGTGTGCATGTAGAGGTGTAGATGTAATGTTACCATTGGAATGCAGCTGTGTACTTGTGTGTAGTGTTTGCATTTGAATGCAGGGGTGGATGTGTGTTTGTATGTAGTGTTGGATGTTACATGCAGTTGGGCTTCTGTGTATTAAGTTGGTGTTGGTGTATATAATTTAAGTGTTTTAATAAAGGGGTGTATTTGTATGTAACATTTGTAATTGCATGCAGGGGAGTGTTTAGATGTAGTGTCTTTTAAATGCAGATGTACATTTGTGTGTAGTATTGGTGAGTGAAGGGTGTGTTTGTATACAATTTTGGAGTTTGTATTCAGGGGTGTGTTTGTATGTAATGATTGGGTTTGCAGCGGTGTGTTTGATCGCCTGGATGTATGCACATACATACTAACACATTGACACACAGATACACACATAAACACACTGATACATGCACACACCTGGACACATCTATTTTTTTTTCTATTGTACTGATCGTTTTATTTCAATATGTAATTACCAGATTTTACTATTAACATGACGTAAAGTCATGATTTTATTAATGACACGGAGGTGAGTATTATGCATTCTCTTTCTTTATTACACTCCCAGCAGCCAGAAAAGGGAATTATAAGAGAATCATAGAAAAAAGACACAGAGGCTCCTATTATGCTATTTTAAAGCTGAGCAACCACTGAACTGGAAATGTGTTGCACTGGGCGGAAATAGAAATTACGAAATGTAGACTCATTCGACCAGTCGGCTGTCCGTAGTATATCCTCCAATTTACAACCTATCACGGAAGCTTTAGAGGCCATAGCTCCGCGAACGGAATGTGAGGAAAAAATTGAGGTTTCTATGCCTGCCATCGACAGCAACCATTTGATCCAACGAGCTAAAGTAGCAGTAGATACTGGTAGGTGAGGTCTTTTGAATGAGATGAACAGTGGATGGGTTTGTTCTGGACGGAGTGATGCCGTGCGATGCTCGTATTCCTTCAGACATAGCATAGGACACAAATTTGGGTTGTCCGGCCATGATGGGTAGAAAACTTCCTTAGTCGAGGATTTTGTTCTACGTGAAATATTAAAGGATACTCCGTTTGGGACAAAAACACGTGCATGCCAGTCTAGTGCCCTGACATCAGCGACCCGTTTACATGAAAGTAAACAAAACAGCATCAACAGTTTGGTCGACAATTGCTTCAGTGAAAGTTCCTGGTTCATTGGCCAAGATTCGATAGAACGCAACATCACATTGACATCCCAAAAGGAAGAATATCGAGTTTGAGGAGGTCGAGTAAGACGGATGCCTTTGAGTAAACGACAGATAAGGGCATGTTTACCTAATGGGGTGCCATCCAACCCCATATGTCTCGCTGATATAGCCGATCTGTACATATTTATAGTACGAAAGGCTTTTCCTTCCTCAAAGAGTAGAGTCAGAAATTGTAGGATTGCTTCTGTAGAAGCTGATATGGGATCCATTGACCGTCCCACGCACCAATCAGACCATTTTCTCCAAGCCGATCCGTAGGCACGTCTGGTACCAGGTGCCCACGACTCTGCCAAGAGACTGAGTGTCGTCTGCGAAACCTCCTCGAGGTTCCATGATCTCCTGAAATGAGCCATGCCATCAGTTGCAATAGGCCTTGGTTGGCCAGATCGTGACTCATTCCCTCTGGGTTGGTTAAGAGGTAGGGAATGTCCGGCAACAGCTGTGGGAAATCTATTGACATTTCCAATAATTGAGGAAACCAAGGTTGTGACCTCCATAACGGGGTTATCAGTGCCAGCGTCCCCTTGGAATATCGAAGGGCCGCTAGGGTCCGAGAAATGAGGTTGAACGGGGGAAAAGCGTAGTTCCTGCCCTTGGTCCAGTCCCGTAGGAATGCATCTGTTGCCAGAGCATCTGGATCCGGTCTTCAACTGAAGAACCGAGGGAGCTGGGTGTTCAGTCAAGACGCGAAGAGGTCTATATTGAAAGGTCCCCAGAGTCGAGAGAGGCGCTGGAAAATCATTGGGTGGAGATGCCAATCCCCTGCGTCCCGAAGGTATCGGGAATTCCAGTCCGCCATTGTATTGTCCTGCCCCGGAATGTATTCTGCTATTACAGAAATGCTGTATTTCAGGCAATGTGCCAAAAATCTCGAGCCATCAATGCGAGAACCTTCGATTTCGTCCCCTCTAGATGGTTGATATAACGTACCGCTGAGATGTTGTCCATCTTGATTAATATAGAGCATGAAATGCCTATGGGGGCCATACTGCGAATGGCAAAGGACGCTGCTAATAGCTCTAGGCAGTTGATGTGCAACAGGGACTCTTTGTTCGACCATCTGCCACCGGTGGAAACTGACCCGCAATGCGCGCCCCAGCCGTGTAAGCTGGCGTCTGACTCTATTACCAGGTCCGGCGTCGATCCAAATATCGCTCGCCCGTTCCATGCCTCCATGTGTGCTAACCACCAGTCTAGTTCCTCCCTGGAGTCTTTGTCCAGTGTAACGCAGGTTTCGTATGAGTGACCGGAGCGTAGATATGAGGCTTTGAGTCTTTGTAGGGCACGATAGTGTAGCGGTCCTGGGAAGATCGCCTGTATGGACGATGCCAACAGCCCTATGATCCTCGCAAGTTGTCGGAGGGAAATAGTCGTACGATGCATAAGCCGTCTGATCTCTTTCTTGATCTAAATCATTTTGTCTTTGGGTAGACACAACCTCTGTTGAACAGAGTCGACTTGGAAACCCAGAAATTCCATCTGTCTGGAGGGTTTCAGTATTGATTTCTCCCAATTCACCAAGAATCCTAAGTTTTGGATAAGGTGGGTCGTCCAGGATAGGTGAATGCGAAGTTGGGATTGAGATTGGGACAGAAGAAGGATGTCGTCTAGATAAATTATTAATCTGACCCCTCGTGTGCGCAGTAAGGCAATCACCGGTTTTAGCACTTTTGTGAAGCACCATGGAGCGGAGGATAGGCCAAATGGCAGACATACAAACCTCCATTTCGTTCCCTGCCACTGAAACTGTAGTAGGTTTCGTAGCGCTTCTGCGATCGGGATTGTCAGGTAAGCATCCCGTAAATCTATTTTGACCATCCAATCCGATGGTATGAGGAGGTCCCAAAGGCAATGAATACCCTCCATTTTGAAATGGTGGTATTGGACAAACGCATTTAGGGGCCGGAGATTTATTACTGGGCGTACCCCGCCCCCTTTCTTGGGGACCAGAAACAAGTTGCTCACGAATCCTTCTCTGTCCCATGGGATTTGTTGGATAGCGTTTTTTTGACGCTAACTCTGTGATCTCTGTTGAGATCATCATCTGGTGTTGGCTGGCCATATTTAGTTCCCGAGGGAACTGTGTCTGAACCGGGTGGGAGGTTAACTCCAATAGGTACCCTTGTATCGTATTTAATACCCAAACATCTGCGGTTAAAATTTTCCAAGCATGATGAAACAAAGCCAGTCTGCCCCCCACTTTTACATGGGAAAAACGGAGATATTCGGTACTCACCATAAGGTCGTCTGCTTGAAACAGACCCCCGTGGTCCACGGGAATTCCAGGGCCGTCCCCGAGATGGGAAGAAAGGGGTATAGTGTCTCTCTGGTACTGGTCTCTGGCTATGAAAGGAGCCTCTGCTGGCTCTAGTTGAGCCTCGAAATCCACGGCCGGGTAGACGGCTCCTTCCTCTGCCGGCCCCTCCAAAAACCTGTGGTGCAAATACTCTCTTAAGAGGATGTCTGAACTTTATCAATTGCTGTAAACGTCTTAACGTACAGCCCAAGATCCTTAATAAAGGATTCACCAAATAGTAAGCCTTTAGCCGCTGGGCCCGGCTCGTTGGTCGCCATGCTGGGCTCTATTTTTAGGAGAATCGCCTTGCGGCGTTCGGTAGCCATAGCCGTATTGGCGTTACCTACCATGCAGACTAATCTCTGCAACCAGCCTATCGCTACTTCGAAATTAAATTCGCTTTCGCCCGATTGGGCGGACTCCACTAGCTCATATAGTTTAGTTATGGGTCCCAATGTATCAAGAAATTTGTCTTGGCAATTTCGGAGGGAAAAATCTAATCCCTTCCTTGGTTTCCAACCAGACTTGTTCAAGAATTAGACCAACTGAGGGTCCACGTCCGGTGTTTTTTCCACCGAGTCTGGAAGGATGGGTAGTGGGCATTCTGCCCGTAACTTATTGCGCCCTTCCTTAGATAAAGGCTTGCGCACCCGAAGTGCGAGATACTTAGCGATGTAAGTAGGCGGCTCCCATGCTGCCGAGCGAGGATGACGAAGGTCATCTGGGTCAAATAATGGGTTACCCAGTGGGTCCCGCAAATGGTCGCCCTCGCCAGAGTCAGGAGGCGCAGCGCCCTGAGCCGTATTCTTTTGGGTAGCAACGCCTGGTTGGGTGTCAGACCCGGAATCTGAAAATTCCGCACTGTAGTGGTCCATATAGGAGTCCTCATACTCCTCCTCCACACTCCAGTCCGAATCGGACGAATCCCCATGGGCACGTGCCCGTTTCCAAGTTCTGGTCGATTTTGCCCGGCCAGGGGCTCTAGTGCGCGGTGGTATCGCGCCATCTTTGACAGCCTGAGGCGTGCCATTCGATGCAGGCTGAACCTGCAGTTCTGAAGGGGAGGTCACATGTCTGCTCTTTGCCAACGCCTTACGTCCCGGTTGTGCCATTTTAGTGGGTACCGGGTTGCGTGTGTTCTGCATGCCACTAGTCTGTGTCTGTATCAGTGCCTCTGTAAAAGACTGAGTGATAGAGGACGACATGACCCCCATCGCAGAGATTAAAGCTCTGTTAATGGATTGTGCCATGGTAGCGTCCAGGAAGGATTGAAACTCCTCCGATGTCATGAGGCTGGCGTCACTTTTACCTCCCTTATTAGGGGGGGAAACGCCTGGTGTGGGGCACATAGACCCTGAAGGTCTGTCACTCTGATCCTGCATAGCAGATAAAATCTTTATAGGGAATATATAAACCCTAGTTCAACTAGTGGAAAATATTGGGCCCAGTAAAATCAATTATACACTTGGTACCTAGCACTACTAAGAGCAGAGTGTTGTAGCCTGTAAAGGAAAACTAGCTTGAGAGAAAACAGAAAAAAGGGTGTCAGGATAGATTAATCCTCCACACCACACTTACAGTTTGGTAGAAATCAGTACAAGAAAAAGAACCTGCAATAATATCCCAGTCTGGGTCTTAGGAGAGTGCTTGGGCGGGTAGGAGAAGCCGGTATGAGTGTAAGCTTGTACACAGCAGATTCCCGCCGAAACCGCGTTTAAAATGGCCGCCGCGAGTGTAAGTTACACTCCCGGCGACATAAACCAAAAAGATGGCCGCCGCGCTACCAACTGCGCATGCACGACCGGACCGCAAGGGGGAAATGAAATTCAATGGACGCGCATGCGCGGCCGCCTGAAAAAACGCGGGAAGACCGCGGGCATAAACCGGAGGTGCAAAGGCAAGCACCAGAAGCCAGAAGAATAGCCCCAGTTACCCAACAGGGAAAACAATTAGGTGAGGGCAGGGAGGGATCACTCCCCTGATAGCAGATAGGAAGCACTCTCTGACACCAGAAGGGTATACACTACAGAAGACAGGAATAACATAACAATACTATGACAATAAAATAATAATGCCCAATCTAATGAACATCCAATTAATGTGTAGGAATTAAATACAAATAAATGTATAAAATATCACAGGAGTAGCAAGATGAGGTACTTAACTTGTCTGAGGGAGCAGCAAGAAAGAGGAGGAGTCAAGGAACACTACACCTATATGGATTATACTGTATGCTAATTGGTGCTACTGTTACCAGGCTACTGTTATGGTTTCTTTTTTCGATGGGATTACATTATACTCTGCTGCAGTATCTAGAATAAAGAGCAAATATCCAAACAGTACTAACCATCCATCTTATCTTTAGTATTTTACAATACGAACATTCACAATTAGGCTTAAAATATATGTATTTTATTATTTTTTTTTAATTCTTTATTTTGTTGTGCTCAGATTTACTGTACATGCTTGTCTGGCCACAGTAGCGTCCACAAGCTCAGTTATAACAATTATTGGTGAGTACCAGTATGGCATTTCGAGTGACAGCACATTTTTTTTTTTTTGTGAGAAAACATTGTGAAGAAACATGTTGGTTAACATAAGAAAACTTAATCATGCAGTAGGTAGCTTCTGAGTTAATGCTAACACAAACGTCAGATTGCATAGTATAGGCTGCATCTCAAATGTTGATAAAAACATAATATAGGCAGCTCACACTGTAAAAGACACAGTCTAGACAGTAGTAAAAATACAATTATGAATTTGCCATATTCTTTGTGCTAAGCCTGTATGTCTTAGGTTTAAAGTTAAACTAGTATTCGGAAGCATAAACGGCATGTAGTGTGAAAAGATTATGTTCTAATAGCAAGGTATCAGCTGTGTGCGTTAATTATAACATGTATGTGAGAGTTGAACATATGCATTTAAATGCAGAGACAGTGGCATGCCTGACGTTCCTACGTGCCATGGTTATGTGTAGTAGCAGGCTTTTTTGATACATATGGCGTATGTGAGTGGTCATGGCGGACTCAGTGGGCTCGTGAGTTGCGAATAAAGCAAAAGTAAAATTAAAAATACATTAGCTGTGTTGTGCCCCAGAAATACATATTATGGTGGGCCTGCTGGTTATGATATGGTGTATGCTGGATGATACGGCTAATATATAGGTGCACAATGGAACTGACTGACATGTATCGTTAAACTCGTATGACTGTTAAGTTATGTGAGAGTAGGCTAACGTGGGTAGGAAAAGTTAAAGCGGGCCGCTATAGTTCAGCCACAGTAGTCTAAGTGTCGGGCTTCACATGCACACATCTTAACACACAGATACACACTAACACAAACACACTGGCATATACACACACACTAGCACATGCACACACTCAGATAGACACTTTGACACAGAGACACGGTTGAAAAACACACACAAATACACACACTGGCACATCCACACACAGAGATACACACTGTCACAGATATGTACACACAGGTTTACATGCAGGGGTGTATTTGTGTGCAGTGTTGGCGTTGGAATGCTGGGATGTATGCATTGCCACAAACACACAGATGCACACTTACACAAACACTGAGATACACACAGGAACACAGACACATATGCAGTGGTGTATTTGTGTGCAATGTTGTTGAAACACTGGGGTGTATTTGTGTGCAGGGTTAGCGTATGTGTGTGCAGTGTTGGCATTAGAATGCTGGGATGAATGCATTGCCACACACATAGATACACACTTACACATACTGACACACACACACACACATATGCTCAGAAATACACACACTTTGTCACACAAGTACACATACACAGGTATGCATTCATACAGATACACATACACATAGATGTACATACACACAGCCAGATACACACACTGACATACACACAGCCAAATACACACATTGAGACACATATAGCTAGAAGCAATGACTCAGACCCAGGTACACACACATATATCAATTTACATCATATTTTAGCCACCCTCTTTTCTCCTTCCTTTTTGGGTACAAAAGGTTGGCTTCCCTGGGGTCCAGTGTGAGCTGGATGGCCAAGGCTGATGGGAGTCTGACTTCCTCAGTCCCTTTCCTCCTCCTGTGTATGCTTCCTCCGCCTCCCCATCGGCATTCTGTTACTTGTTATATCACCTCACTTCCTCCCAGCAGGCAACATCAGGTGCTGCAGTCCACAGGGTTTGGATGCCGGCAGGGGTCCCACAGGGCAACTACTTTGGGCCCCCAGGGCAGCTGCCCTTTTTGCCCCCCTTTAACCTTTAAGGACCAAACTTCTGGAATAAAAGGGAATCATGACATGTCACACATGTCATGTGTCCTTAAGGGGTTAAAGACGGCCCTGGCTATGGTAAACGCAGCAATGCACCAGGTTTGTGAGAGGAACCCGGCGAAGTAGCAGGTTAGAGCCCCCAAGTCCTCCTTTCTCCTGCCCTGGATTTTCAGTGCCTTTTGGCCCGCACTGACCCTTCATGGCACACAGTAGGGCCGGCGATTTGATCTCTTATGCTGGCCTTGGCCCATCACAGCCCACTGGGCATTTGCCTGATAGCCAGTCCGGGCTGGATCCCTTGTATGTCATGAATCAAAGCATAGTGTAACTGCATCTAGTTCCCTTATTTAACTCTATAAGGTCTTCAAGCATAGAATCTAGCAGGGCTTACCGAATATCTTAGCTATAATTTTATATAGTTAGTAAGAGTTCCTCTATTTAACATATATAAATAATTGAGAATACAATTTTTAAAAAGGGATTGCCTTGGAAGCAATAGTTTTGTCTTTTAAAATATTTTAATAAAAAATATAGATATAAAAACTTAATATATTATAATAATTTACAGCAGGGTTTATAAGATTAATGTATATGCTTGCTCTATCAGTAAAATAGAATAACATACCCTCTTGAACATGTCAACCTCTTGATAAAATGAAGCAGGGTGTGTTTCCTGGATGGAGATGGCAGAGGGGGTGTTTCAGGGATGGAGATGGCAGAGGGGGTGTTTCCTGGATGGAGATGGCAGAGGGGGTGTTTCAGGGATGGAGAAGGCAGAGGGGGTGTTTCAGGGATGGAGATGGCAGAGGGGGTGTTTCAGGGACGGAGATGGCAGAGGGGGTGTTTCATGGATGGAGATGGCAGAGGGGTGTTTTGGATGGAGAATGGCAGAGGGGGGTGTGTTTGGAGATGGCAGAGGGGTGTTTTAGGGGGATGGGAGAGGATGGAGAGATGGCAGATGGGGTGTTTCAGAGATGGAGATGGCAGAGGGGGCGTTTCATGGATGGAGATGGTAGAGGGGGTGTTTTAGGGATGGAGGTGGTAGAGGGGGCGTTTTATGGATGGAGATGGTAGAGGGGGCGTTTCATGGATGGAGATGGCAGATGGGATGTTTTAGGGATGGAGATGGCAGAGGGGGTGTTCAGGGATGGAGATGGCAGAGGGGATGTTTCAGAGATGGAGATGGCAGAGGGGGTGTTTCAGGGACAGAGTTATAGCATAGCAGTTCTGTTATAGGCGGCATACTGACAGAGGGGCTACAATAAAGGGATGGAGCAGAGACAGGGGTTATGTTTAATCAACGCAGTAGGCAATGCGTTGATTAAACATAACCCCGTTATGTTTAATCAGGTTATTCATTAAAGTGAGACCCCGTTATGTTTAATCAGGTTATTCATTAAAGTGAGACCCCGTTATGTTTAATCAGGTTATTCATTAAAGTGAGAATTGTTGATAGTTGAAAGAATTTAAGATTTATGTCCAAAGTTACCAATTTGGAAACCTGGCTGACTAGTTGAATATTTACAGAAATGTTATATTCTCCCTTTAATGACTGAACCCGGTATGTTTCAGTGATGGAGTGAAGGTGTAATGTTTTCGGAATTAAGCTGCGGCGGGTTGGTGGCTGGGAGCAGTTTATGGAACGGTGGATGGTTGACTGTAAGCGGTGTGTTGGCTGGCTGGGAGTAGTGGCTGGCTGGGAGTAGTGGCAGTCTTGGAGCGGTGTGTGGCTGGCTGGGAGCGGTGTGTGGCTGGCTGGGAGTAGTGGCAGTCTGTGAGCGGTGTGTGGCTGGCTGGGAGTAGTGGCAGTCTGGGAGCGGTGTGTGGCTGGCTGTGAGTAGAGGCAGTCTGTGAGAGGTGTGTGGCTGGCTGGGAGTAGTGGCAGTCTGGGAGCGGTGTGTGGCTGGCTG